CCGGCGAATCAGTTGGTACTTGCAAGATGACGGAGTCACCAGATCCGTCACGGTTTCGAATAGATCGAGTGGGAAATCGAGATCTTCGACTTCGTCGATGTATTGATTGCTTCTTTCAGATCTTCGGTTGCTTCCTTCGCCTCTTGGAGAGAAGGAGGTTTACTGAAAATAACCCTAGGAATCGGCTCCTCTTCGGCGAATTCCCAATCGTCCCAAACCGGCCTATGCATAATCATCGAGTCTTCTTCGACGGAAGGATGAGCCACCGATGAAATCGAATCCTCCTTTCGAGATTCTGATTCCAGCCACCTTCGCTGCCGTCGCCATAGCTCTTCCTCCTCTCATGGTTCAATCGATACACAGTTCAAGTAATAGACTCACATGGAAATTAAGGATTTTTGCTTGAATAATCGCATGAATAATCACATGGAGAGAGATCYAGAAAGAGAGATTYTGAGAGAGATGAAATTCTCTCTCGAAGAAGAAGAATTAGTCTGCACAAGGTTTTTTTTTGGTTTAATATTACACAAATGCCATTAATGATTTCGGGTCATCCATGCGGGTCGCGCGGATCCGTGTGTGTGCAGTTGGATCCAATCCAAAAAATATCTGAAATTGATCTGATAATTACTGAAATTGCCACTGCATATGTACAAAATTATCCTTTTCAATTGAATATCTTTAGTTAAAAAGCAATGACAATTTCAGTAATATTAGAATGAATTTTGGACATTTTGATAAATATACTTCTGTTTTAATATTATAGAGATTTAAAATTATATGTCATGGTAGAAATATCTACGTATTTTTTTTAACATAAGCTCATTAATACATGTTTTAAAAATATAAATCCAACTAAATATAATATTTTAGATTTACCATATCATTTTTTAATATATATTAACAAGTTTTTATTATCATATTTATAACAGTATTATCTATTGTGTATATGTATTTAGATTAGTACATTATACAAATAATTTATTATGATGTAGTCTACATATTTAATCACACTTACAAATATCTATACATTTCACTATTAGAAAACATTAATTATTATTTTTTGTTTGTTATATCTAATAAATTCAGATAAATGTAAAGTTTATCAAATTTATCGTATTCTCTACAATTTACACGAATAAAGAAAATCAATTTTACACTTAAACATTTGCATATGTTTTGATTAATTTTACGTATTAAAATATTTAAACTAATTGTATTAACAAATGTTTGATCAAAAGTCTTGAATTT